CTACGTTGCGCTTATCTATAAACATTTTCTCCATACAGATATAACCTCATAATGGCAAAGTAAAATGGTAAAAGCACGTGATACACGCTGTTACGTTCGTCTCACTGTAGTCTTCGAAATGGTATTTACAATAACATTGAAGTATCAAAGTCCTGTGCGATCAGTGTTTGAAGGTCATTGCAATGACTCACCGTATTGTCATATACCGCATGAGGTTTTACCACCAGTCAGAATCTGAGTCCTCCCATCCCCAAGGTTCGTCGTCATAGTCAAAGTAGTCAAAATAGTCGAACTCTCTGAAGGCGGCAGCGCGTTCCCAATTATCCTCTCTGTTTCTTTGTACATCCTCCAGGCGCTTTACCTCCTTACACACCCTGCATTTCTCTTCTCCGTTTCTTAACTGTGTTGCACTGAATTCGTCCCGCGGAAATCGTCGTTGACAGCGCGTACATGCAGTGTTTGCGGCCGGAAAATACAGACTTCCTTTATCAGGAATGATGTCAAGAGGAAGGTATGCATTCATTTCATAGTCATCGAAAGACCTCACTGTTTTGCCTCGATACAGATCAACATACCTTTGCGATGCAACTCGTAGACGAGCATCCTCTCCTCCGTTGACATCCTTCATCTTGTTGTACAAGCTGAACATCGCCATTGTATCCACAACGCAGTATTGGATAAGTTCATCCGTCAGTGGTCTCTTTTTCCACACTTTCTCATCTTTCTTTAACAACTGTTTCCCTTTGTCCTTTATTTTGGTCAACTTTTCGTCCTGGAGGTACAGCTCAATGCAGCGACCAAAGCCATATATTTTCTCTACTTCATCTGTTCTCTGGCTTCGACGAGCACCACGTCTGTACTTATTGGAAAACTGCGGAGAGTTTGCTGTGTTTTCACGGCGATATATGACTTCAAGCAGCTGAAGATCCAAGACTCCGCTCAGTTTCACCTTAAACTGATGCCAGAGCGCATCGGAATCTTGTCGGCAATCAAACGTCAACTTCACGCGATGTTTGTCTTCAAGGATATCACCAAGTCCACTGCTGAAAACGAGTTGTCCTAGTTTCAGCACATCAAAGATGTAGACTTTCTCTTCAGTTGCTACTGTGATGATGGTAAGCGCTCCCTTTCTGCTCAACGAATCCCCCTCGCAATCAACAGCTAAAAGGGTGTTCCGTATCTCTATTTTGCGTTTGAGCTCAGCGATAGCATCTTGGAGATGAGTTTCGTCATCGACTAGTCTGTAATCATAATCATTTGCGTTTCCGCAAGCCATTTTTGACAAAACAATTAATTGTACGTGAGAAGATTGAAGCTTTTGTGCCGTCGTGTAAAAGAAATTGTTGATGTTTGCATGAAATAGCGAGTTCCGAGAAAAGAAATTGTTGATGTAGGCATGCAATAGCGAGTTCCGAGAAATTTCACTATCCACTTCCGCTTTTCCTCGCAGGGGTAGGGGGCTCGTTAGAGCAGGGGCTAAAATTGCCGCTGATACTAAATTGAACCGGAACACGTCCCGTAGACGAAGCCCTCCTGTAAGAAGCAGACAGCTGCTCATTGTACATTTCCCAACTTCATTTTAACCCCTTGTAAGCTGATGCCTCTTAGCTCTCCTGTAGTTAGAAGCGATATTAAGAAAAAACAGAGCTCTTTAACTCTAGCAGTCCTTCAGGGGAGAGCCAGGCGTAATGTACACTGCAGTACAGGGTAAATGACCTGTTAATTATTTACATGTGATTCTATTCAGAAAGTCTGAACTAGTTTAATTTCATTTCGGAACACAGCAGTGTGACTGCTTGTTGCTTCACCTACGAAGACAAACGGAATTCTTTAAGGTGTGCAATAAACAACAACAGCAACAAAAAAAAAAAAACAAAGCGGTTGTTTCTGTACCGGAGCATAGTATACGTCGTCACCCTGGAAATGCATTAATCCTGTTTAACTACATAATTTACGTCGCTGGAAATATATGAGTCCTGTTTAACTACATAATTTAGGTAAATCCACGCCTACTACTACATATATTACAGGCATTCTGTTCACAGCCCACAGGTCCACAGGTTCACAGGTCCACACTTCGTGCTACAAACATGATAGATGAACCAATCATTAAATTAGTGAATGGTCAGCGTTGAAGAAAAAACCACCGACCCCCAATAGGGTGTGTTCATTGTCACGCAATAAAAAATAAAATCAAAAACCATTCAGTGGATAAAGTAAAAAAATTGTGACATTATAGACAATAAATAAAGAAGACAGTTCTCCAAGTTTAAGGTGTGTGCATTGTCCTAAAGTTGAGATATTCGTCGAAATGTTCCGCGCAAAATTATAGAGCCTGGTATGAAGCCGCCATGTTGGTGGACCTCCTTAGTCCTCCAATATGGCGGCCGGAAAAGAGTGCAAACATCTGGAAATTACTTTGTCTATCTAGTCGAGTGATTATCTGAACCGAACTAGAAAACATTTACACAAGCACTTTTTCTGATACTTCAACTCCTAACATGGCTAAAAATTATGAGATGTGGCTCTTTAGTTTTGGATTTGAGAATTTGATGACGTCAAGTGAACACACTCCATAGATGGCAAGATACTTAGAGCTCACTTCCCTCAGATACTCCGATAACCTGTACCCAGATTTTCAATGCCAGATACTCCCACCCCATATGCAGTTTTCCAGTAATGATATTTTACAGAAGTCCTGAAGATAATTTTTAAAAAGTAAATTAATGGAGGAGATGAAAAATCACATCAACTATGATTTGCAGCACACTACCAGTCAAAGAAGAGTAGATTTTTCTCTGGAATAAACAGTAAGCTAAATAAATTTTATCAAATGGCAGAGAAATATTTTCATCTTTTCCGGTTTTTTCTTTCTTTCTTTCTTTCTTTCTTTCTTTCTTTCTTTATTTCTTTCTTTCTTTCTTTCTTTTTCTTATCAGCTAAATTCCAAATCTGTTGCACAGTTCAAGGAGTTGTTGAAAAGAGATCGTCACAGGGAAGTGCAGTTAGTCTCATATCAGCCTAGTACGGCTCGTCCTGACATTAGCGAGTTGAAAAGTCTTCAGACAGCTTGACCGAGAACTGCATTTTTCACACTGATTCCAAAACTGGACCCAGAAGATACAGATAGTTTTTCAGAGGATGAGAATGAGGTAAATTATAATCCAGAGCCAATTACCTCAATGCATCAAGAGAAGTATTCTTCTCTTTCAAAGGAAGAGCTTCAAGTCAAGAGCAAGGACATACTGTTAACCTTCTCCAGAATGACACAAGATCAAATTGTACAGCTAAAAGAGCTTACCAGGGACCAGGCCATTTGCCCTCCCTGGTTTGAACATGGCCCGAAGAGGCAGGATAACTGGCAGCATAGCCCACGAATATTTCAGAGGGATTTAATTAAGTCAATTCTACGAGTCCTCAGCTTCTGCGTTCGCTATGAATGATCAAATGAACGGTTCGAAGTGTAAATGAAGGAGCGGTTAGCAAATGGTCAATTAAGGGCGAGTTTTATTGGCTCAGTTGATATTGTCCAGAGTGCAAAAGTGATGAATAAGTTCATTGCAAATTTTGGAATATTTCGATGTCTATAGGGTCATTCAAAAATGACATTATGCATGGTATAGAACTTTTGAACCTGACTGGAGTGATCAGCATTAAATTCCTTGTGACAATCATGTTAATCCAAAATGAAAAAAGTAGTCACCAGATGTACTTAAGGGATATGTGTGAGACCAGTGACAATGACTTGCATGTTGACTGCGAGGCTTAAAGGGGTAATGCGTCATTATGAACAAAAGAACCATCAAGAAATTTTAAATTCAGGGGAGGGCTTAATTAACGTAGCATCATGCCTTCAAAGCATTTATAGTTTGTTATCTGTTCCAAATTGTTAGACCAAACGCTTCACTTTATTCACATTTTCTCAATGCAATACAGCAAATAAAAAATGTCAACAACAAATAATCTTGTAGAGTAACAACAACAATCCATCAACAGAGGCCGTCATGGAATCTGGTGACTGATAATTTAGAAACAAGTAATGCCCTCTGTTAATAATTTATGTTTTCTTGAACACAATATTTACAGAAAAGCAGGAAAGTGGTGGAAAACGTACCCAGAAAAGTTAGAAGACAGTTTGGTTCAGATGTTGACGAAAACAGGGGAGAGATGGGTTCCACTTTCCCTACCTCCTGTAAGGGTTAATCAAGGAGGGCTTAATGTAAAGGGCCACCTCATTATACCAATTCAGATTACTATAGAAAAGCTTTGGAACCTAGAGTTAATTTCAAATGTGGTAATTTTTTATCCTTCCTGTAAGGTGGTGGATAGTTTTGGGGCTTTTGGCAAGATTTTGACATTTAAAAAATATAATAATTTTTCATTCCCTCATCCCTTGTAAAATGGAGGAACCGAGCCTGTCAATTTGAGCACAGAGACCATCTCTTTGACAAAGTCATTCAATGCGCTGATGAATACTTAACTAATTTTGGCCGTAGATTGCTTACTGCCGCTCTTATCATAACAATATTGTCTGCATGAGGTACCAGAGAGAGAGGTAAGATCCTCACTGGTAGTTTAAAGTTCTTTATCCTCTTCATCATTCTCTGAACATGAATCCTAGCTCTGGCAAGTCTACGAGACATTTCCACTTGCCTCATGCTTAGCTGTTTCTTGCCTTTCGTGAAGCAAGCCTAACACTCCGTGAGGCCAACTCCTCCTCTATTAGAAACCCTCTATCTGCAAGAATTAGGCCTCCATATTCTAGCAGATCCAAGAATCCTGACTGTTGAGTTATTAGTTTATCTGAAGCTCTACCCCCAAAAGCCTTCGAGACAAAAGAAATGGCACCACTGGGGTTATACCAACTAATATTTCAATGGTGTTATGATGTTTGTAATTGGACCATGTAAGAGCTCGCAGTGGCAGATTACGTGCTCTCTCACAAAATATTTCTGTACAATCAATTATTACCCTGCACTTTGAATATCGTTGTTTGAATAATGGCAGTAAAGTACGAGAAACTTCTTCTTTTGAGGGCCATCTAACTAGAAAAGATAACCTGAAGGCTAATGCTGGCAAATCTTCATTCAGCGATATTGAAACCAAACCCTCTGAGACATTAAATCTGTATGCTAAATCTTGATTAGGGAGGGCAAGCCTCAGTTTCATGAAAATTAAAAAGAAATATGCTACCTTTGGACAACACAGTTGAACATGGCAATACTGATAGACAAAAATTTAATGCCCAAATGAAGGTTGCATAGTCAGGAAAGCCTGTAAAAAATTTTGTTTTTTTCGTGGTATTTCCATGTTCAAGAAAATGTTCATCAAATTTAACACTTTTGAGCTCCTCTTTTAGTTTCCTATTCCCTTCTTGTAACCTGCTGATCTCATCATAGAGCATTTTGATCTCCTATTTCAGCTTCTGGGTGTACTTTTCCTCACCCTCCTGACTGTCAGCACTTGGTTCACCATCTGATACCAAAAATTATAAATGCATCATATGACGAACAAATCAGGGGTGAATACTTCTCGTTATTGTTTTGGTGTGGAAAGGTGGGGGGGCGGGGGGCAGGGTGCAGCCCAATTCCAGCTCAATATGCATATATTATTTTCCAATGTCCTCTTTCACAACTGGTCTCTAAAATCCATACTGTATAATGAGACGCACCAAGTTTCCAATTTTTTACGATGCAGGAGCAACTTATCAGCTGCAACAACACTTTTGGTGGAATGTTCATGATTTTCCATGGTTCTAGTAAATATGCACATCCCCCTGACACCCTAAGGAAGGAATTTTTAAAGACTACCCCTAGCATGTTGCGTCCTTTTAATGTTATGGCTTTTGAGATCCAAATTCTTCTGGAATTTCCAGTCCCCTTCCTTGAGAAGGAGGGGGAAAGGTGGGGAGGCTACACATCCTGACCATTTTGTATTTATTTGAAGATTTGAAATACTCCTTAAAACTACCCTACAACCCCCACAACGATAACAACCGGACAAATCATAAGGACTAAACAAAACATTCGAGAGAAATTTACGTACGTGATAAATCTAGGTCATCCATGGATGATGTCACTGTTTGGATTGAAGTGTTTCCACTGCTTAGTGAAAGGTCTAGAAGTGTCTCTGCCCCTTCGAGGAGTTCTTTCTATCCTCCTTGGCTTTCTCTTTTATTTCAGACCGCCTAAGGCAACGCAGGTACCTTGCCTTTTTTTTCTGGCAGCGTTCAAAGCATCCTACCTCCATGTAACCCATGAGAAGGCTCGGAACATAATCTGGGTCATTCGGATCGTCTGTTGTTTGTTCTTCAAGACAAGAGTGTGACAAAAGTGATACAAGCCCGAAAATTTATACGCTCTACTCTTTGCTGCAATGGCAGAGTGCCGAAAGAGAAAAAAACAAAATACACAGAAAATAATGATAGATTAGCAATACCCCAAAACCAAAGTTTGTGTTATGACATTTTTCTGCTGGAAGCATTAAGAAAAATTGGAACTTACCCTACAGGCGGCCCAAACGTTGAATGAATACGATTAATACGTGACATTATGCTGTTGGCGATTGCGTTACAATTTTAGCCGTTGATAAGACAATGTATAAGAATGCTTCGAAAATTACTCTTAATGCTACGTGTAGAAAATATTTTGAATAAAATGGCTTACCTTATGTTTGCATTGCGTTATTTTGATGTCTCTGGGTTCCTAGAGGTGGTTCATTGAACATTCCCATACATTGTCTCATAAACGGCTAAAATTGTAACGCAATCGCCAACGGCATAATGTCACGTAATAATCGTATTCAACGTCTGAGCCGCCTGTACTTACCCGAGAGAAAATGAACGCTGCAAACGCGCTCGTGCTCTAAAGGCACCCATTCTTTCGGCAAATTGCATTAATCCAAGCTGATCTTTTAGGCTCCCGATCGGGAATCCTCAAAAATGTCATCCCCGATCTTTTATTAAACCGTCTTGCACAATTTATCACACAACAACTCACTGGCATTGTTCCTGAACAAAAGATATCACTGACCCATCACTCAAACTGTTGCCTTATCGCGCTCTCCAAAGCGTTCTTTTTGCCAACCACGAACCACAACAACGACACGTGACTAAGCTGGTGACGTCAGCGTGAGTATCGCTATAGATAGACGATAGACACACCTTTTGATTTGTTTATTTCCGTATACAACGCCGCTTCAAAGCAT